ATTTCCTCTCCCCACACTTTAAACTGGAGTTGTTGTGAGATCTGGATTTTGTTTGGGAAATTATTTAAGTTTTTAGCGAGATTTGTGAGCACATAGGCAACACTTCGGATTGTTTAACTGTCAGTAGTAAGCTTGAACTCATTGAATGATGGATCAACACATTATTTTTTTTAATTAACGAGCACTGCCCGCGTATTTGTGTGGGATACATGGCCCGAGTGGAGGATGGGGTGGGGGGAGGCGTGACGTCAGCACGCACTTGCCCACCAGTGCGCCAGCCAGCAAAACTTTTTTGTCGAATATATTTATATCCCACCTATTTTATTCCAGTGGTGGTGCCATTGGCACCTTTGTCACACGATGGCATCTTCAATTAGAAACCCGCTCAGCGAGCAGTGCACCACATTTGCCGAGCCTTCGCGCATTCGTCGCACGTTGCAGAGGTTAAACTTTTTATTTACTTTTACCAGGTAAGGCCCACTGAGCTATAGTGCTCTTTTTTTAGACGCGACCTGGCCACAAATGATCGCGCAATAAAGTGTCCTATCACGTGTAAATGTACAGCAGCCAAATGACTCCAAATACTTTAGATTCGTGGTTCGAATCCAGCGGCGGCCCTGGTTTTTGCCGTGGATGTTCTAACCAAAACATACACGTCGTCTGCCCCACGGCGCATCTCCGATTTGGCACGGTTGGCTATGTACGGTGCGAAAGAAGTTCAACATACATACAGCGGACATTAAAGATGCTACAACACCATTCGCGGAAGAAGGCTATTGTGTGCGGGCATCATGGTCCAAAACTTGACAAATTTGAAAAATCACACAATTGGGATGATACGTAGCAATAATCGTAGTCAACTGCGAAAACTTGACAGGATCCTCCAGAAAAATAGTCATGAGATTGTTATATGGTGTCACGTAACAGTTTCTAAAGCCACTTTAATAAGCTTCTTTATCGAAACCGGGAAATGTATTTTTTAAGCACTGAAAAGATTATTCATATCATGTCAATCCAACATACTGTATATTAGAATTCTCGGAGCTGGAATTGAGCCTAATGAAGTGAAAAACCAAATTGAATTCGGTGGGGCTTTTGTGCAGCCACTGGTGACTAGTTTGAGACCTTTGACTCAAGATACGCGAGTTTAATTACGGGTCGCTGAAACTTGGATTCAAACCCATGATCTCTGAGCTGCCCAGTTTGGAGATTTGACAGTGTTAAGCTCGGTGAGCCATCTGTGGCCTCCTTGGGGTAAATGTGTTACCAAGGTTGAAGCTATCAAAGTGACCTCTGTGACATTGGCACGACTTCCTTGAAGTTATTTGAGAAAAAATAAATCTAATCTGAATATCATTTTTGCGTGTAATGTTTAAACATGTTTTGCTTTAAATTCTTAGGAGACATGTTTGCGTACTTAAAAGAAAGAACATGTAATTCACGTACTTCAGTGCTTCTGCAAGGCTTTTTAGTTTTATAGTTTAAGGTATGAGATGATAAATGAGGGTTACTAACATTTATGACCTGAAAGTTTGTTGTAGGTGTGCCCATTGTAAATGCTCGCGGATTTTATTTTCAAACCCAGAGCACAGTGTGTCCCAGTGAACACTGTGTTTACCACTGCTTGTACAAATGACAACTTGTATGCATTTTCCCGTGCGTTAAGCATTGAATGGGCACACTTTACCAAAGTATTTTACCATTGCAACATTTCCCCCATTCATTTATAAGTAACTTTTTTTGTTAAGTGTTATAATTTTCTTTTTTACAACCAATTGTCCATACATGTCAACCCCAAAGAGTTCAAAACTGTGAGCCTCTCTTTGAATAACCTTGATGATTAAAACCCAAGAAACTGTGGCAGAAGCCCAGAAAACTGAGACACAAAATTTCACCGTCATGCAAGCAAGGGCAAGCCGACTGAGGTTACTTTGTAGAAATAGGCTGCATGTATATACCACTTAGTGAATATGTGTTTGGTTTTCCTGCTGTTTCCTCATGAAGTGGCTGAAGAGACCAGCTTATCCGTCCATACACGTCAGAGCTGACCCATCGGCAACTGCTGCTGGTTGCACAGATAAAAATAGGGTCGAGCGAATTATTTTCAGGTAAACAACGACATCACATCTGATAATCAATTGCCTGGTTGTGAGACACTCAACAATGTGAAACACTGCGAGTCTCAAGGGTTCAACATTCATACATGCATACGTACACACGTGATGATTCTTGAAACTTGACAGGAATGCTTTGTCAATCCACCGCTGGATGAAGGCCCTTCCAATACTGTTTCGGTCATGGACATTGTTTAACCCTACTTCACCATTGACGGTCACTGCTGATTGAAGAAGTGGGGTAGTTCAGACGTCGGTTACCGGCTGAAACTCCACCAGATTCATAGTGCAGTGCATTAACAACGACTCCTCTGCTCCCTCCAACTTGCAATTAGTCTCGTGATATGTCTCATGCGTCAAACCTTTATAAACGGCTTAAAATATACTTTGTCGTAAAAAAAAATTTGGAAGAAAATTTAAAAGCAATCAATAACTTCTCCGCAAAAAAAGCGTGCTACTTTGTCTGCGTGTAAATGTGCGCCTTTGGGGGGGGGGGCGACTCCCATAGGTTGGCAGAGTCTGCGCCATCACGGTTCGCTTGAGTTCATGGGGAAAGTCAGGCGGACACTGCAGAGTCAGGCACAGCCCTGCATTTATCCACTCACGCCCACTGCTGGCCGAAGGGCCTCAGCCAGAGGGAGATGTGGGAGTGAACTAAACTATTAAACGATTTATTTTACCAGCTAAAGCCCACTTAGCTACATAACTCTTGTTTCAGACGCGACCTGGCCATAAGTGATAGCTCAACGAAGTGGCTTACCACTTGGAAATGTATTGCAGCCAAATAGTCCAAGCGCATGTTGAGTCTGAATCCACGTGACCACGGGGAGAACATGCAAACTCCCAAGTATACAGGCGTCAGGGTCGGGATCGAACCCACGACCATGTCAGGCGAGGTAGTTAACATCTCGACACTGTGTCACCCCAAACCACGCTTTACCCCAGCACATACAGTGAGGGAAAAAAGTATTTGATCCCCTGCTGATTTTGTACGTTTGCCCACTGACAAAGAAATGATCAGTCTATAATTTTAATGCTAGGTTTATTTGAACAGTGAGAGACAGAATAACAACAAAAAAATCCAGAAAAACGCATGTCAAAAATGTTATAAATTGATTTGCATTTTAATGAGGGAAATAAGTATTTGACCCCCTCTCAATCAGAAAGATTTCTGGCTCCCAGGTGTCTTTTATACAGGTAACAAGCTGAGATTAGGAGCACTCCCTTTAAGAGTGTGCTCCTAATCTCAGCTTGTTACCTGTATAAAAGACACCTGTCCACAGAAGCAATCAATCAATCAGATTCCAAACTCTCCACCATGGCCAAGACCAAAGAGCTCTCTAAGGATGTCAGGGACGCGATTGTAGACCTACACAAGGCTGGAATGGGCTACAAGACCATTGCCAAGCAGCTTGGTGAGCTGGTCACAACAGTTGGTGCGATTATTCGCAAATGGAAGAAACACAAAAGAACTGTCAATCTCCCTCGGCCTGGGGCTCCATGCAAGATCTCACCTCGTGGAGTTGCAAAAATCATGAGAACAGTGAGGAATCATCCCAGAACTACACGGGAGGATCTTTTCAACTCAAGGCAGCTGGGACCATAGTCACCAAGAAAACAATTGGTAACATACTACGCCGTGAAGGACTGAAATCCTGCAGCGCCCGCAAGGTCCCCCTGCTCAAGAAAGCACATATACATGCCCGTTTGAAGTTTGCCAATGAACATCTTAATGATTCAAAGGACAACTGGGTGAAAGTGTTGTGGTCAGATGAGACCAAAATTGAGCTCTTTGGCATCAACTCAACTCGCCGTGTTTGGAGGAGGAGGAATGCTGCCTATGACCCCAAGAACACCATCCCCACCGTCAAACATGGAGGTGGAAACATTATGCCTGGGGGGTGTTTTTCTGCTAAGGGGACAGGACAACTTCACCGCATCAAAGGGACGATGGACGGGGCCATGTACCGTCAAATCTTGGATGAGAACCTCCTTCCCTCAGCCAGGGCATTGAAAATGGGTCGTGGATGAGTATTCCAGCATGACAATGACCCAAAACACATGGCCAAGGCAACAAAGGAGTGGCTCAAGAAGAAGCACATTAAGGTCCTGGAGTGGCCTAGCCAGTCTCCAGACCTTAATCCCATAGAAAATCTGTGGAGCGAGCTGAAGGTTCGAGTTTCCAAACGTTAGCCTCGAAACCTTAATGACTTGGAGAAGATCTGCAAAGAGGAGTGGGACAAAATCCCTCCTGAGATGTGTGCAAACCTGGTGGCCGACTACAAGAAACGTCTGACCTCTGTGATTCCCAACAAGGGTTTTGCCACCAAGTACTAAGTCATGTTTTGCAGAGGGGTCAAATACTTATTTCCCTCATTAAAATGCAAATCAATTTTTAACATTTTTGACATGCGTTTTTTCTGGATTTTGTTGTTATTCTCTCTCACTGTTCAAATAAACCTACCGTTAAAATTATAGACTGATCATTTCTTTGTCAGTGGGCAAACGTACAAAATCAGCAGGGGGGATCAAATACTTTTTTCCATCACTGTATGACCTGCGGAGTGCCCAAAGATACTTTTGCGTGGAAAACTTGCCCGTTGTTTCCCCTGCCGATACGGGAGTTCGATTTGGTGTCCTCTGGATGTCAAGTACAGCTTTCTAACCATAATACCAGGGCACCACCTGCAGCAGTGTAATTTGTTCAAAAATTACCGTTGGCGAAATGCCCTTTGGGGTTGTGCAAAAGCTGTGAGGCTGCCAACACAAGCTGTCTTGAAATAAAAGAAAGCATTTATTGCTAAGCAGCACAAGGTTACAAATAACAAAATTTAAATGTCGAGATATGGGACCCGATGACATCGTTTGCATAAAAAAAAACACAAATCGTTTTCTCTTTTTAATTCTTAAAATCAATGCATCATTGACAACCATGAATCGTAAAAGCAGAAAAACACTGAGCAAAGGGGAGCTGAGGTATGCAAGAATGGACAAAGAAACATCGGATTTACCGTCAACTGGGTACAAGCCAACAAGAAGGAAGATGATGAGTCGGTGTTGCAAACAAAAAACAAAGAGCAAATTCCATAGTCAACTTAAAACCGGTATGAAACAGTTAACTTTTATATTATATGCCACGATGCATATTTTAACTCTCCCCCCCCCTCCCCATAAACTCAACAAATATCAGAAAACCATGATATTCATTATAATTTTACAGCTAAACTATTTATGTACATGACTTCTACCTTAAGCCACCTTCACTGTACATGGCATATAAGGGAATCTCTCGGTAAATATGGGCGCAGCAATTGGACACAACAGCAACTGAAAAATACATTACACATACACACTTGCTACCGTATACAAGCGCTATTTCGCACAGTTTGTATTTTATTCACCCCCACCACCACTCCGCCGTTTTGGTAAACCAGGTTTTTTGAAATAGACTTTTAAAAGGTAGAGTTTTTAAATGACGCAAAAGGTTTGCAGCGATCGCACCGAATCGCGGCAGTGTGCCAAAGAGAGCTTTTACAGCGTCCCCTCGTGTGAAGTCAATTAATTTTAGTTGCAGAGTACATATATATAAAATTAGTCTTTAAGAGTTACATGTGCTGCACCATTGCATCTGTGTGCCATTTGTTGTTGTGCTTTCGACCTGCCGAAGGAAACTTTCTCTTGGGATATTTTGTGCAGTTTTTTTGTATAATTTTTGTATTATTCATAGAGGACGATATTACTTTTTGAGAATAAGTACAGCACTGTATTAATGTGCCGAGTCTGTCTGTCCTTGGAACGATGGTACAGCTAGATGTAACATTCTTTATTGTTTCGCCAGCTGTGAACAGGATGGAATGTGAGACATAGCGCGTGTGCTAGCATTTCACTGTAGCATTCATTAGCCTTGGGGAAAAAAAATTCAATGAGCACATTGAAAAATACATTCTTCACATAGCCCATTCATTTATCCTATTTTGTTTACTTTTATAAACAAGCTTACAATGAAAGACAAAAAAAACTCAAAATACCCATGAAGGAAAATAACACCCGAGATCCTAGTCACAGGCAGAATAATATAAATTAATACAAATTATATATTTTTGTTCTCGGAACCACCAAACATATGTGTGCATGCGTGTCACCATAATCAAGAATGCAATTTGTTTGCACGCTCCGTGGACGTAAATATGTATGCCACTTTTGTTTCATTTGAAGCCCCATCCAAAACACAAATGACCGGCATGAGGTCCACTTGGTGGCCACACATCAATGCTGTGCTTTAAAAGGCAAGTTTACAATAGGTTTTTTTTTTTCTTCCATTAAACAAACCAGTTTTATTTTTTTAACATGCATCCCTTAACACAACTGGGGTATCCAGATGTGGACATTTTTTTAGGAGTGTTATGTTTTAGAGTATCGGAGAAAATAAGTAAAACCGGTCATCATTTTATTTTCTCTTTTCTCACAGCGTACAGTACATATATAATATTCACACAGTGGTCTTCCGCAAGGTTTGAAGTCACAACTCATTGGGAAAATGATCACATAGTATTTGTTGCCTCTGTGGCGTAAAAGCACATCTTAGACTTAGCATTATAACGTTTTCAGCAAACATTGTAAAGGAGTTTGTGCCGTAAAAAACCAAGGTTGTAAAGTTTATGGTTTCTTCCGTTATATTTTTTCTCATTTTTTTTGGGTCCAACCCCCCCCCCCCCCCCATTTTTTTGAAAAAAAAAAACTTATTTTTTTGGAGCATCCTCTTGGACAGTTGACACATTTGCCAACACGTGGATAAGAAAGCAGTTGAACGGGTGGGAGAAAAAAAAAAACATTTCATGTTGGCAAAATAGCAGCGGAGCGGGTGCCCGTCGATGGAGAGAGGCTCGCTCACACGTAGTACTCTTTGTCCTTGTTTTTCTTGCCCTTGCCGGGCGCCGGCGGCGGCTTCCCCTTCCCCATCGCGCCTGCGCCGGCCTGCTTGTCGGCCTTGCTGGCCGAGCCGTTGGCCTGCGCCGGGCCGGCGTGGGCGGTCGAGGTGGCGCTGCTGCTGATGTAGTTGCGGGTCTCGTCGACGTGGTACGAGCCCTCGTCGCGGTTGCGGTACTTGTACATGGCGTAGAGCAGGATGACGATGCAGAGGGCCGCGGCCGCCACGATCCCCACCACCATGCCCGTCGTGCTGCCAGACTCGCGCACGGTGATCTCCGAGACCCCGCCTGCCGATCCGAGGCCCGGGCCGAGCCCCGGCCCCCCGCTGCCCGCCTGCCTCCCACCTCCGCCGGGCCCCGGCCGAGCTGTGGGCAAAGACATTGGTGAAGTTACTACCGCTGGGACCCCCCGCATTTTGGTGCTGTCCGACTCGGGCACGGTGGGTGGCACCAGCACCACGTCGGGAAACTGCGCTCCTCCGCTCTGACGCGTGTTCATTTTGCCGGCGGGAAACTTGTGTCCGCTGCCTTCCGGCTGGGCCGCGGTGGTCAGCACCGCGCCACCGGCCGCGGTCGCGCTGCTGCCGGTGTGCCTGGCGGTCGAGGCGGCCGCGGTGGAAACGTAGCCGGGGGCCAAGGTGGTGGTTGTGGTGGAGACAAAAGCTGAGTGGCTGCGGCCGTCAATGCCGAAGGCCAGGTTGGGCCCGAAGTCCTTGGCCTCCCACTGCCGCGCCTGCGCTTTGTTGTAGCCGCCCCCGCCACCCGTCGCGCCACTTTCAAAAGTCGTGAGGCCCTTGTCGGGATCTGCCGTTACCAAGCAACACGGAGGAGGAGGAGGGAGGGAGGTGAGTACTCTTCTGCTGCTAGGTAGAGACGGTTGCAAGGCCGCCTTGAAGAAGGTGGAAAGTCCCCCCGAAGGGGTTTCTTTTGTCGGCGTGGGTCAGGGCAGGTAAGGGGGGGTCACACGGAAGCCGTGTGGGTTTGGCTGGGAGTCGGGTCGGGGTTTCGCGGAGAGGGCTTTTTGGATGGGAAGAGCAAAGGTGAGGAGGCATGGGGAGGGTTTGCCGGGCGTTCTCCTCCGGTTGGTGGTCGACGTGCGTGCTTTGGTGGGACTGCGCCCAGAGGAAGCTGGTTTTGCCGTTACTACTGTTACCCCTGCGAAGCGAGAGAGACAACAAAACGACAAGGACGAAAATACTGTGATGTTCACGCATTGTTTGTATACATTGTAATTGATCATTTGCAATAAATACGTACTATATACTTTTTAAAATCTATCATACTTGTTTTTTTATGAAATACAGTAACTGTGGCATACCCAGGAGGCACATTTTCTCGTTCATAGCACCCTAAAACATTGTAGAACTCGGTAAGGTTAAAGGGACAACTTCTAGTTCGTAGTTGGTAAGAGAAAATAAACTATTTACAGCGCTGAAAACTATTCAGTACGACAGAACCTAATGCAATATTAGTCCATCATATTGTGTATGCAGGACCAATGGCATTAGTGCAGCCTTTAATTATTTACTTGTTAAATCTAATTCAGCCTTTCTTCTATGGCCAAGTGAGAGTGCATCGAGATTCATTAATTGTGCAGGTAACACTTGCAACGACCTTCGTTTTGCAAGGACATTTTTTTTCAGCTGTTTGTAATTTTTGACGTTTAGGGCTGGAGTTATGACATTGGCACATTTTAATTTACTCTTGCGAACGACGTCGTGGCTTTCAGTGTCGACAACGTAAGGGGGTCGGGTCCTCTTTGGTGATTCTGCGCCGTTCCGGGCATCTGCAGCAATTAATCTGTCAACTGAAATGACTCGTTTGACAAGTTCACTATCAGCTACCGTACGTACCCGATAACAGTAGAGCAATTTAACCGCCACCGCCAACCAACGAACCACCGGAATGTGATTACTTGTCACAATTGAGGGTCGAGGTTCTATATATATAAAAAAAACTATCTTTTTTGACATTTTATAATGCCTCGAGCGATTAGAGGCATCGATGTGAACCCATTGTATGAAATATATAAATAAATAAACCCATCAGTTCCTGAATTCGTTTTTATTGCACACATTGAGAGCTTGATAATCATAATGAATCTGTTTCGAATTGATTATCACACCCATATGACCCAATACTCCAGTATTTGGCTCTGAACTACCCTACTACCCTGACCACTATTCATCCCACCCCAGGAACATTTGAAGGGTATGCCACTTAACCATGAATACGTCACCAACATATAAAAGCAGTGTGCTGCTCTGGTGAATTATATAATGTGTATATATCTCTACGTATCATTTTTTTTAACGATAGCAGCTGGTATGACAAAGATGGTAACAAGAGCAAATAGAATTTACAGAATGTATCAATTCACTAATGCAAGGTTGACAGAGTGGCTAGATTGTAATGCTTAGAAAACCAGTTGGCTTATGAAATGAAAAGCGTGCAGCGTGTAATTGTCGGTCAAGAAAGAGTAAACTTTACTTACGTTTGCAGTGTGCTCCCAAAGGGTATTGCATGAAATACCATGAAGTTAAAACGAGAATTAAGAAATCTTTGGAGGTCATATAATTACAACAGACTGAGAGATATTTACACCATTGTCATTTCACGATCAAAATATTCATGGATAAAAAAAACTTCTATAATAATATTACAGTACAAGAAAAACAGCCCATGATTAAATATACATACACATGACTCGTGTAATTTGTAATAAGTGTTACTATTAATCCTGATTTCTGGATTATTTTTATTAAAAAGTTTCACATCTATTGGACGCAACAATTAATATATTTCTTTGAGGCAAAAAAAACCTCCCTTAACCTTGAAATGGAGATTGCCTGATAATTGATTCAAGACTATCCACAATTAGGGCTCGCCACAGCGCATCTGACAGCCAACTTTCCGAGGACGAGCTTCCGCTTAGGCATTTCACCCGCATGGGTGAAATGGAAGTATCGGGTGTGGGGAGCGCACGATGCAGCAGAAGAGTACGTGAGCCAGGGAGAGTACGTGAGCCAGGGGAAGAGTACGTGAGCCAGGGGAAGAGTACGTGAGCCAGGGGAATAGTATGTGAGCCAGGGGAAGAGTATGTGAGCCAGCGGAAGAGTACGTAAGCCAGGGGAAGAGTTCGTGAGCCAGGGGAGAGTACGTGAGCCCGGGGAGAGTTCGTGAGCCAGCGGAAGAGTTCGTGAGCCAGCAGAAGAGTACATGAGTCAGCGGAAGAGTTCGTGAGCCAGGGGAAGAGTACGTGAGCCAGGGGAGAGTACGTGAGCCAGGGAGAGTACGTGAGCCAGGGGAAGGGTACGTGAGCCAGCAGAAGAGTACATGAGCCAGGGAGAGTACGTGAGCCAGGGGAGAGTACGTGAGCCAGGGGAAGAGTTCGTGAGCCAGGGGAGAGTTCGTGAGCCAGCAGAAGAGTACGTGAGCCAGCGGAAGAGTTCGTGAGCCAGGGGAAGAGTACGTGAGCCAGGGGAGAGTTCGTGAGCCAGCAGAAGAGTACGTGAGCCAGCGGAAGAGTTCGTGAGCCAGGGGAGAGTGCGTGAGCCAGGGGAGAGTTCGTGAGCCAGCAGAAGAGTTCGTGAGCCAGGGGAGAGTACGTGAGCCAGGGGAGAGTGCGTGAGCCAGGGGAGAGTTCGTGAGCCAGGGGAGAGTACGTGAGCCAGGGGAAGACTTCGTGAGCCAGGGGAGAGTAAAGCCAGGGAGAGTACGTGAGCCAGGGAGAGTACGTGAGCCAGGGGAGAGTTCGTGAGCTAGGGAGAGTACGTGAGCCAGGACGGTCAGTCGTTGCCCCCCGGCGCAATTAGCTACGACGCGCGGACATGTTTTCTCTTGCATTCACGGCGTGTCTGGTGGCCTTTGCCACTTTAATTCTGCCTCGGTGTCGACCACAGCGGCGGAGGGGGCCCTCCGATGCCGGTGCCTTCATGTCGGCGCTGGTGGCAGAGTAGCTCGGGGAACTTTTTTACACAGGAGCTGGTGTCGCGAGGCGCTTCGGGTGAGGCTCTCCGTAGCCAGCGTAGGCGAGAGAGAGTTTGACCTTAAAGCGTCCTTTGGGTCTTTTGTTATTTTTGTTGGCCACGTTTTGCATGAGTGAACGTATGTATGTTTGTTGTTGTATGCTGCTGTGATGGCAAGGTGAGTGGGTCTCATGTAAAAGGAAAGAAAACATGGAGAGACATCAAGAATCTTTACTCTGTGGCTGCTTGTTGATGCGTTTGGGTTTGGGAGAGAGAGATATTCAACCAGGTGCCACTAGCAGGGCTCATTGGGCAACCGTATTAAGTAGGATCACTACATCTCACCCGATCAAATTTTTGAGGTATTTGATGAGCAATACAAACTAAAAAGAAATCAATTTTTTTTTACAACGAACCTAATTGTGTTCAAATAAGTCTTCTTGCACAACTGATGAATTAAAATCAACTCCCAAATTTGCAACAGACAGACGTTACTATAACAAAATAAATTGCAGTGCTATGTAGAACCGACTATAAAATCCTTCGCTAATAACGCGAACGAGGAATGCGCGCGGGCAGACACATCCGTGTAAGAACGAAGAAGAGAGAGTGAGAGCACGAACTGCACACTGTGGATTGAAGAGACGTTATTTCGAGGTCACCGCTAATCAGCCAAGGATAGTTGAGCGTGGGGAATTAAAATGGCGGCGATGATGGCATGGCGAAGCAGGACCGGCTGTCTGTGTCTGACATGCAGTGGCTGTGCAGGACTGACATGAGGGGCTGCACTAGGGGTGACAGAGAGAGAGAGAATGATGAAGATGAAGGGGGAGGTGGGGAGTTGGGGGGCGGGAGGGATGGGGTACGAAAGGGGAAAAACATAATCCGTGAGCATAAAGCATGCCCAACAACACAGAACCAATAAGATGTGTCACAAAGCACAGACATTAAAGTAGAAAATAAAAGACAGAAACTGACTGGTGCTCCATTGGGTGCATGTGATGTGTGTGCGTGTGTCTTTGCAGCGGCAATGTGCCAATGATTGTGCTGTGCGGCATCTGTGGAATAACCCAGTCCTGAAACATTTTATGCAATGGTTATAATAGTTTTGTTGCATCTCAAAGGAGCAACTTTTTTTGTGAAGGATGCCTTGGCTTTTAATCGCGGTGCATTGTAATTATGATTGGAATTTCGTTCAGTCAGGGAAAATTGCCTCCTTTGATTAGGCCGCAGTTGCCGCCAACAGACTTTTTTCGTGGCGAAAATCACGTTCTTTGTTTAGTCTGTTTTGGCAGTCTTTCGTTGGTGAAATCTTTGCTTGTGCCAGCTAAGACACGAAGAAAGCAGTCAGTTATAATCAAAGGGGGAGGGGGGAGGGGCACTGTGTGCGTGTGATTGCAATGGCAGTGCAGCCTCGTGAAGTGCAGAAACGGGCCTTTGAGGATGTTTTAAGACTCGAACGTGGAGTCAATTAGGGAAACCGTCATGCTGATGGGGTTGAAGAGCCAGGGGGTGGGGTGGGGGGCGGGGGGGGGAGGTGTTAATTCAACTCGAGCGCTGATTGACCCACAATTTCATTAACGTTCAGAGACAGGGTTCAGCCGGGAGCAGTCTGCCATCCCACCCCTGGAGGGATTGAGCACCGCTAAATGGAATGCACGGTTTGTGGTGGGGCTTGCGTGGACCTTTTTTTTCTTACTCCTTTAACCGACCTCACAATTGATCCTTTCAAAGTAAACATCTGTATTTTGGTGCTAAGGCTTTAGCTGGCTGTCAAGTCGCGTTGGCTTTGACTTGCTGATCGTGCGCCGTTTGGCGCTGGAGACCTCGGCCACTTGTGGTTCAGCTCGAAGGTGGAACTTTGAACCGTGGATCGCGGCGCTTGTGGATTTTGGTAGCTGCAGGCCTGAGGAGGATCCCGCTTACGAGGTGGTACTGTACTGTGTTATTTCGTTTGGCTCTGTTAATCACTGAGACTGTCCCGTACACGCCCACATTGAACAGGTATTCCGTTGCGACATTCAAAACGGCAAGACTGTAGCGCGATCATTGCGGGTTTTCACGGGAGCCTGCTATGACTGAATGCGAGACTTGGGTTCGATGCATAGTTGAGGGTTCTTTGCTCTCTCTGTGTGTCTATCACTTGTGTTAAGTGTTTAATTAAAAAAGCCAACATGATAGAATTATAAAAAACGAGACTGGCGACAAATTCATATTTTATCTTGTCTGACAGTGACTTAATGCTAACACTTTGTTCCTGCATAATCATTCGGCCATGGTATGGGTACATGACTCGCATTCAGCTGAAGTCACAGATTTTTACGGGGCTCTAATTTTGTTATTCGAGTCAAAATATTTGAACTTGAGTTTAGCCTTTCACAGGGCCCTTGCTAAATATACCCATGTCCTGACCAGTCCAGTCCAGCATATCCTAAATATATAAAATAACATTTGACCTACAATTGAATACCTTTTTTTTAAGTGACAAAAACATCCGTATTTTGTTACGTGTGATATTATGTGAAAAAGGGACGCTCCAACAACCACTACCGTTCGTCAAACAAGGCCGGCTGGAAGGATTTGCAGAGGCGGATTTATGGAGGAGGGTGAAGGATGACAACGCTTTTGGTTCGTTGAGATTTTCTTCATTACTGATACGCTTGGAGGAAACGGCAGTCGGCAATTCCACCCAAAAGCGATCTTACTGGGGGAAGGGCCCAGGAACGCGACTCGCGAAATGGGCGGGGCCCATTCATGCGGTCACTGTTGGTCAGCGTTTGACGCGCAAAACAACCGCCGACACAAAAGCTCCGCACGGCGGCTTTTTTTTTTTACCAAGCACCAGTAACGCCTCCAGAGTGCAATGGAAACGCAGGAGTTTGCAGGGACCGACAGTTTGTTTTCACTCGCTTACCTTATTTTGAACATCTGTTTTGAAAAAAAAAGGTACATTTTCATCGGCAGCAAAAGCGGGCGCGTAAAATGTGACACGTTGCATTTTCGCCTCCCGCAGTTTGATCACGAAATAATGTTTATAAACACGAGCATTTTGTTTCATCCACTCCCCATGAATGATTTAATGCGCTGTGAAGCATCGGACTTATTTCTGCGAAGATGGGCTACGGCACCTGCTGTCGCTCCCGCGGGACGGCCGTGGCCCCCTTGAATGCTAATCGCCGTGTGCCGTGCAGCGTCGTACATGTTCACCGGCGAGAAAGGGCGCAGTTGGGGAGGTCACTCAAAGGACACCTTCGTCGTGTGATCATGAGCACCGCAGACAGCTAAAAAGCTGTGTTGCAGGTTAGCCAGAGACATTGCCGCGGTTGAAACAGCAGCTAAGTCGGGCTGAGTATTGTGGTGCGGTACGAGAGGTGGTGGTGGTCGTGGTGGTCGTGGTGGTGGTGGTGGTGTAAAGTCTGTCCCACCTGAGCTCGTGTCACACTCCTCCAGGTCCTCATCGTCGCTCGGGCACTCGGCCGACGCCACCAGGATGTCGTCCGTGTTCTGGATTTGACAGGCGGTACAAAAGTTGACGAGTTAACGACCGTTTTGTGAAATGCGCAACGTTTCGGTGAGTTTCGTGGGCTTGGGCAGGACACGTCGCTAGATGGTGTGATGACCGGTGACCGGGAATAATAACCGAGTGGCGTTCAAGGATTTGAATGCGTCAGAGAGAACTAATTCAAGTCTGTGAATGATGAGGAAACCTGTCGCATCAGTAATATTTGTGCAGTTTGCAAAAACAAAGAATTGCAACGACACACAAAACTGTGCACTTATGGGTACAAAAGCCTCTTGGCCTTATATAGGAAACCACCAATCTCCATCGAATTTAGAAAACGTGCATTTGGGCAATATAATGGGTGTCCAGGGTTGGGGTTTGCCCTCTTTGGGGTTCACCCTCTATGAGACTCCCAGTGGAAGATGGCAGCAGTGAACATGGATTACTGTATTGTACTGATGAGTCCGAATCAGGACAAAACCGGTCAACAGTTGTATCCTTATCTCAGTGCTGCCTGCCAATTGATTACATATTCTCAAGTTTATGGATAGTGGTCAAAGACAAAATGACCAGAATGCAGTTCTTCTGAACTGGTGGTTTGCTGTATGAGGCCGAGACATTTTCGTGCACACGACGAGTGCTCGTTTTTGTGTGCGGTTGAAACTCTCAGAGAGGATGTTGACCGAGGAGATGGAGCGATGAATTCATCCTGTGTGTGGGTGCTAGAAGGCAGTCATCCAGCAGTGAGATTGACCATGGCTGATAATTATACGACGTTCCGTTTAGTTTTTTATGTATCTCTCTCGCGAACGTTTAACAATGCAGGAGCTACTCCTGTGCGTTATATTCAGAAACGCAAAACTCTCATGGGAAGGCAAAATCTTTTTTTTTATCTTTTGCATTACATTTTTTGCTCTTGAGTTTCAGAGGCCCCATGTATCAATCTGGATCACCAGGCCAAGTGCTGCTAGTGGGCATCTATTAAGGCTACCATTGCACACAAAGAGGCTTTATGTTGCCACCGTTATAAACTCTGGACTGCCTCTGTTTTGGCAGTGCCGGTGTTTAGCCACGGCATTTTAGGACAAGTATTTCCAAGGGGAGACCCATTTGCAGGTTACAATACATTACAGTTTGGATTTATATAGAGCCTAAAATGTAACCGTTATCTCAAGATTCCGTGCGATAGAGGTCCGGCACATTCGTGACGGAGAAGGAGGAGTGTATGTATGTGTCTAGACTGTATATATTATTCACAGAGATGAGGCAGTCAAAGGCAAATGAGAAGACAGAGGTCTTGAGCCTGGACTTGAACAGGGCGAGGGAGTCAACAGCACGAACAGCCGTGGGGAGAGAGTTCAAAATAATGGTGGCAGCAGAGGAAAAGGAGCGACCTCCCACTGAGCGAAGAATGACTGGGGGCTTCGACAGAAGGCCATGGCTGCTGGAGCGGAGAGCAAGTGTGTGTGGGTGGGGGGGAGCTAGATGAAGGGTTGCTTTCTTTTGTCATTAATTTTGAGTCAAATGTGAGTTTTTTTTGTAATTAGGCTGCCGAATCACAAAGCATAAACACAATACAACACAATTTGGATATAGCCGTGCAGATACGAAGAGCCAATGGTGTGCCCTTGGCCAGGAATCCATATCAAGGGAGCCAGGATTGTGGAGCAGAGCCATATGATCACCATGCCAATGCCAATATATATTTTTAGATACAGACCCACAAAGACAAAGATACCTCGTATAGCCTGTTACATGTTGTTGGGGGCAAGTCCTGTTAGCAAGCACCTATTAAGGCTGATACGACACCAAACGTCCAATTAGCGTGGTTGTCTACGTATGGTGCGAAATAAGTTCTACATACATACACCACACTTTTGTCTTTGCATCCACAGTATCGATATTTACCCACTGCAACAGGTACTCATTTAAGGCTGATTTGACCGAGGGGAGGTACAGGTCCAGTTCAGATATCACTCGGCCCTTATGTTCGCCATTGGCTAGGGTTCATAACACAGTGAACTAACCACTGAGCCACGGCTCCACTATATATATACACACACACAAGGTCTGCACACATACTCTAACAAGCATTCGAGTTTCTATTTCTCTGTGGGGCCAAAACAAAGAAAAAAACCGAAATAAACTCGGAGGCGGGTGGAAATAGGAACACAAGGTAGTAAATTATTCACCGAGAATGTCTTACAGCAGGCTGTGTGTGTGTGTGTCCAACACAGGGTCGTTGTTAATTTGAGGCAATAGTTGTCAGCTACCCGCTGCAAGTCAACGTGGGCAGCCGCTGTATTTGACACGGCACGGCCGGCACACTTAAAAAAAAAAGAATCTCAACCATGCGGTTGAGATTGAGAGAGGCTGGCGATTGCAAATATGCCGGCAAGTCCGCCGACTGCGATGACGTGACATTGATGTTTGCCCCAATGTTGTTTGCACGATAAATGATTGGTTTGCCATCGCAGTGGTTTGTATTGTTGGCAGTCGCACAGCAAGAGCCCACACAGAAATATAATTGCTTGAGAACAAATATGGAATGTTGGTTCTTTGAACCGTCCACCACTGGTGGTGTGAGCTGTAACCCTCGCTCCATCGTGACTGGAGGGAAAAACACGCTATGTATATTTATGCCGCCTGCTGAGCTACGTGACCAAATATTAAGCGACTTAAAGATGAATTTCCGCGCTAGCTTCCTGATAAAAAAATAAATAAAAATGATGCACGTATTTTTCTTTCGATGAATGACGGTAGTAAAAGCACACCTAAAAGATATATACAATTATCAAACACAATGCATTGTGTTTACGTGCATCGCCCTTTAAAGCTGTCGTATAGCTAAATCAAATGATAAGATAATGAGGAACTAAAAGGTGGGTGACGGTGATCTCAATATATGCGGTGACAATTCAGCATTGGGTCCACTGCTGTCATTGACCAGTGTAACGTTGTGGAGCATCACAGACATGCTACCTCAGCAAATTGGACATCGAAGACCCTGCTCTGTTGTTTGGAAGAGTCCCAATTGTTGTGCACCCAGATTCTAAATTTGAACTCGCCTGCAACTTCCCGATGCAGTTCTCAGGTTTCCCAGGTCTCTTGATTTGGTTTTAATTATTTAAGATGTGTATTACATAAAAAAAATTATACAATCCGAGAGAGGAAAATCCAATTTAAATATACAATTACATTAAATGTCAGTAACCTTCGCACGGCTAAATATTACTCGCTAAATTCATCTAACAACAAAAAGGAAATAGCATTTTTTTATTAATTTACCCGGGCAAAAGGCTGAGTCTCAAGCCTCGTTTTCAGGAGGGTCCTGCATTGGGACATTTGGCGAGTCCAGTAATGGCCTTTTGGCTTCATGTGGCAGGAAGCTTCAGAATCCGGAGGAAACCCACCACGCATGCAGGGGGAGTTGAGACACTCAAGGCTCCATTTGTTGTCGTGCCATATCCTGGCTAACCTTGCAATCCCTCATCCAAGTAATAACCAGGCTTAACTCTGCTCAGCTTCGGACAAGATCAGGTGCATTCAGGTTGATTTGGCTGTGATTTGAGAATAGCAAACAATACATCATGACAAAGGGAGCCAGGCAGTACACGGGTTAAAGTATTTAGGATTATTGCCATTAAACATAATTGGAGACAGGGGCACCGTGGTGGCAAGATATTAACTCTAATTCTAGATTTGAAGTTTTCTTGACTGCAAGGAATACATACTCTTTGGTTCTTTTGGTAAAGTCACGTAGGAAAAAAATAATAAAAAAGATATTACATTTTTTTTTTAAACTAAATAAAATCACGACGTTTTGGGCGCAACACAAGTGCCGTCATCAGGTGGAAACAACCCCAGCAATAATTAAATTGCTGAAATGGGCTAAAGAGTAAGGATGTTAACCTCCTCGCCTGGTATGCAGGAGGTTGTGGGTTCTATCTTGACCTTTAAGCCTATAATATGTTTGGAGTTTGCGTGTCTCTCTCTCCCCACGGTAGCATGGATTTCTCTCCGAGTCCTCCGGTTTTTCCCTCCACATTTAGGTACACGAGTATTTGACTGCGATAAATTTCAACATTATAAGCCACATCATTGCGCTATCATTTGTGGCCAGGTTGCTTGTGAAAAAGAGCTGTATAGCTCAGTGGGCCTTACCTGGATAAATAAAAAAAAATAGTTAAACAAGTGTTGAAGACATTATATTTCGATGATTAATAGTTAAATGTGTTGATGTCATTCTATTTTGAATAAACATAGCTCGAGTTGGGAAACTGAGAGGACTCCGTTTGAGGCGAGATCTTTTCATCTTCCCTTTGTTGTAGGATCTCGTTTGACCCTATCGGCAATTTAAAAAAATTAACATGTTACATCCTTTGATATTAAATTGCTGAAAAATTACTGGAATATGTCTCGCATTGAAGCAACTTTGTTTTATTTTCTCTCGAAATCGTGTGGGAAAAGAAAGAGCGTGTCGTAGAAATAAGCGATCAGCTGGAAGGTTATGAATATAATGGGGGGAGGGGGGTTGAAGGGAACAGATGAGTTTGATTTAAAATATAAAATTAGGGTCACATCATGAGGAAGGAAGACAATGAAGAGCTTTGAGGTGTCATTAGTTTACCATTAGACATGATTGTCATTTTCATAGATGTTCGCACTGAGCAGAAAATTAATTGAAAACATTTATTCAACCAGAACAGGTACTCGGGCTGCGCGGTGGATATGTTTATAAATTGCGCCACTCGCAGTGTACCTGTCAAAGTGTCATCTTCATTGTGTTTTTATGAAAAGTCTTCCGAACGTGCTTTGTAATAACAATGTCGTTATGCTTTGCTGTGGATCAAATTGGCCCTGTCATAGGAATGTTGAATTTCCATCAATCGCCAGTAGAGAAGAGCACCGTCCACATGCTCATCAGAGGAGGAGACTGAAATCGTTTGTTACCTACATTGCCTATATTTGCATTTTTCAGTATATTAGATACATTTTTGAGTTAATGTTTTGTAACCGAATATGATTGAAATACATTTTAGGTTGCGGTGCGAGTGATACAATAACAATGGGGTGATACTTTGTTGATGTTCACTACACAAAGGTTACATTTCGTTGAAAGGCATTTTACTCTCCGCACTTGATGCCATTAAACATTGATGCAGCAGCAGGGTCTTCAGGAATGTTATAGAATACGCAGGAACGGTGAGGGCTCGGAGAAAAACACTGCTGCTTTTTTATGGCTCGCGATGTTCCTGTGGGGGGGGGGGGGGGGGGGGGGCGGATGGTTGGGGGGGGGGCGTATAGCAGATTGTGGCAGCGGGTATTAAAATAATTGGGAGTCAATATAAAATGTAATTGGAAAACACAGCAGCCTGGGCAATTGGCTAAAAAAAAAAATGTCATCCGATTATTTGCAGCACATTGCAACATAAAAATAATACAAATGCACATTACGTTTAAAGGTATTTTAAATAAAAGAAAAATTATGGAAATGACACCGTGTGCAATTTATAGTACCGCAACTAATCTTTGGGTAGAAGTGCTACAGCTATATTGTAAATTGCAATGCTGTTTGCCAGTCGCAGGCGTGGAGAGAGATGGTGGAGGGGGATGGAGACTGTGGTCTGTACCATGACCACAATTGGCACGTGATTTTCATGTTGGATTCTGCAAATTGGGGAGTGTGTTTTGGCGATGGTTTGGCCACAGCGGCCACGTTATTATTTCCAGGGTGCTGGGCAGTGCCTGGGCCCGTCACGTCCAATTACGGTGACATTGCCGCAACATGACGGCCCCTCATTATCTCGCGTCGTGGCGCCTGGCGGCCCCTCTGAGCCTGCTGGCGACTTTCCGTTTAACCACATCCTCACGTTTTAAACCGCCCCGACACAACTGGCGATGGCTTCAGCACAAAAAGAAAACCAACGAGGCGAATGTAAGAACAAAAATGAGCAAGTAAAGGGAGGTGTAAATATATATTTCGTTCTAAAATATTTACATTTTTGTTTTCCTAGAAAAAATGTCTTGCAAAACAATAATAATAATAATAATGCCAAGTATGATATAATTGTGCCATACTTGGTAATTGTTATTCATTAATTCAGGGTGGATGAATACACTCTGAATGCACTCTGTATTCATTTTTATTTTAAATCAACAACCCAATACTTTATTCGTTGCCAACACAAACATTGGTAGTCAGTGAATTGTTGTCATGAAGGATGGATGTGTTAAAGAATTGCAATACGTCCAAATCTTAGCAATCAGAGGAACAACATTTGAGATGTAAATGTTTTTATAATTATTTTTATTAAAAAAACTCAGCGTGTGCAGATCATCTAGCTGAAATTTTAATGCAGCCCTGCATCTCTGTGTGAAGTTTTATTTGTGTGGACAGATATTGTCAAATGATCTCTTTATGCCCCCTCCAGAAATTTGATAGCTTATTTCTTCGAGGTCTAGTTGAGGTTAGTTTTAACGCAACTGCATGTAATATAGATTTTATTTTTCCATAAAGACAGCATCAAAGCATAGAAATGCTATGGAAATATTATTGATAATAGCAGTAATTTTATTGCCACAGATTATCGATGGCATAGCAAATACAATGGTAAAGGTTTTTTTATTATATATATACACCTTGTGTTTTTCATGTTTTAAATCGGTAAGTGAACTTTCTCGTGCTTTGTAAAATAACTGTGAAAACACAAACCCTACACTGACTGATTAACGGAGTGTTTGTAATGGTTTTGAGCAGTATTTTGTCACTAAAATGCCAAGGCCCATTGATTTACCATTGGGCTATGTTACCAATTAGTGAGTATAAAGAAGCCCACTGGCTCTTGAAAAACTAATAATTGGTAGCGAGTACGTGAAACTTATTTTTTGCCCGGACTAAATTTCGTGGAGGTTACCTCCGTGTCAATAAATACAAATCTGAACTTTACTGCTTGGAGGCATTTCATCATCTTGTCTAATATCGTAACGCAACGCTGGCCGAGTCCTCGTGCATGTGATCGCATGCCCAGCGGTGCTCATCAAGAAATCGAATTCTCACCTTGGAATTTTCAATCAAAAACGCATTTTTTATATTCAATTAAAAATATATATATTGGGTGCAATTGTGAACAAGAGCCATATCAGACATGAGTACGTCTAATCGGCATACTCATTGGTTCACTGCAGTTCAAAGACTCAGTCCCTACAAGGCGTGTGGTGAAGTTCAGAGATGTCCACGTGCTCGGCATTTGCAGGCCTGAAGACCAGAATCGGTGATTTCGCCGACAATGTGTTTCAGGGAGGCAGTTCCTATATATCTGGACAGCGGAGTTAAGGGAGCTTCTGTCGAGGGAGCAATGTTCTGGCGACTGGGGGGCTAGGGTGTGGCATCATGCAGTGAAAGGGGGGGGGGCGGATCGTTTTGTATTGAAGGTCATGGCCGGAATAGGTGAACAGAGACAAGACAACCCGTGGGGGTTTATGTTGGTTGTAGAAGTAGAACTCTTTAGAAGTAAACGTCGAATAGGGGATGTAATAAGACTCGACAGACATTTCTGCCATGAAGTTAATTGGCCCGGAATGGTTTCGGGGTCAGCCGTCCCGTTGTCTCGGAGACAAACGAAGGAGCGACTTGAATTTCCTCTCCGCGGACGGTCGTGACAAGACGCCTAAGTCCATCTGCATGTTTCCAGCTTGGAAACGGTCACGTCCAGCGGTTTCTACACTCTCTCGCTGTTTCTTCCATGGGAACAATTAGTTTTGTGTTCCCACATGACATTTCAGCCTGAATGTCGGCGCTTGGTTTCAGCTGAACAGCCTCCAGAGCTGATTAGGTCCGTTAGTTTATGGTATTTTTTGGAAAATTATTTATTTACGTTAATTGAAACCCGCTAAAGCGTATTTGGTAAAGTAATATTATTATTGCTCTACAGGAGAAGACAAAGTGTTTGTAATTTGGTAGGTAATGCAGTTTATTGAAATTTAAAATTGTATCCCTGGTGATTGTCATCGTGCCTTGTCTGCTTTTCCATTAACTTTTATTCTGCACAAATCTTAAACCAATTAAAAGCTGACTGATCTTAAGGTCACCTTGGCCACGATTTAACACGATGCATTAATTATGCCGAAAATGAAATCATTACGCTTCTATTTGCATTGCTCCGATAAGGATTTGTAATACATTATTTTTGTTAGGGGGCCAGGTATCTGTGTAACAAATATTTTTATGAGTTGTAATTAAATTATGCGGCCTTGCCTGTTGGGGGTCAAGGAGATGCTTATTAATATTTAAAGGATTAGAGAGCATTCCTGGGCCACCTTTCATCAGAAGCTTCATCTGTTTGTCTCCAGCAAAGCAATAAAAGGGAAAGCAATATAAGTGAGCCACCATTTGGCCGGACCTTAATTTTATAATTCGTTTTTAAGCCCGGCGGGCAGAGCTGCACTCAAAAGACAGCGCCACAAATCGTACAATTTACCTAAACAAGAATCTAACAGCAGATGACAGGCACCAGCTCAAGACTGCTCAGACATCAGCGTGCCCACGGGGGAGGAGACGATGATGGAGAAGGATGGGCAAGGGGAGAAGACAAAAGGAGACGGAAGATGGGGCGGGGGCCGGGGGGAAGACGGCGCTGTTCGCTTGCACGTTCACTCACTATGAGCGGGGTGTCACGCGTGGTGGAGCGGGCCTTGCGCGTGGTGGTGGTGGACAGCGTGGTGGTCGTCTCCATGATGGTGGTGGACATCTCGGTGGGCATGGCCGTGACGGCAGTCTCGGTGGACGCGAGCGAGGGCAGCTCGCCCACCATGCGCACGTTACCCTGCACCCGAACGTTGGGGTCCCCCTCCGCCGCCATGTTGAGCACCTTGAGGCCATTGTAGTAGAGGCCCGAGAGCTGGCCCTGGAAGGGCCGCTCGCCCTCTTTGCTTCCGATGGATATCGCAGCCTGGCTGTTGAATATCGTCAGCTGCCGCCCTGCAAGAGGAAAACGGTGAATCCCACTTAAGGACTCGCAGGCTTTGAGAGCGTAGAGTCGACGGCAGATAAATCTGCCAAGATTGTAATGATGGCAGTCAAAAATAAATGACAGTGTAGTTTTTTTTGCAGTTGTGCCTGTGTAGCTCTCCGATGCGTATTCTGGTTGTACCACGTGTCGTTCCGGGGCATGATGTCCAACGTTTTGAACCACCTGCTTTTGCGTTTCTTCAGTGTAACCCACATGCTGGGAGCTTCCTCAGGATCTGAACTTGGTTCTTGAAGAAGCCCCCAGCACGCGGACAGAAGAATTGGACATCATGCTAAAACAACACGTGGTACAACTCGAAAGCACAGGAAAGCTGGCAGTAATTTTGTATTACAGTAAAACCTTGGATTGCGAGCATAATTTGTTCCGGAAACGTGTTTGTAATCCAAAGCACTCGTATATCAAAGCACTCGTATATCAGTTGTGATCACGTGACGCTTGGCAGACAAAGCGTATACATACTACTCGTATTGCAAGACCTCGCCCGTTTATCAAATTTATATTTATTTTAAAAAAATTGCTCGTCTTGCAAAACACTCGCAGACCAAGTTACTCGCAATCCAAGGTTTTATTGTAGCTGCATTGCATAGTGCATTGTATGTATGTAATGCATGTTTATATGTATGTATGCATGCACGTGTGTACGCAATGTTATGAAGCTCAAAGCTGTATACAAAGAACTATGAAGTTAATGAACATGCTTTATTTACTGGATAACAAGTATTTGTGACAAAAAACCAATGGTTTTTTACATTTAATGTTTCTGATTATCGGTTGAAAAATTTACGAGTATGGGTTAAACATGACATTACGCTGCAACTAAAAGATTTTTTTATGGTGCATAAAACATGCGATGACATTTATGTTTTTGTTAAAGGGACTTTTAAATGGTTTATCATGTTAGCTTTCATATATTTTTATCATATTTTTTTACCTTTTCTAAACAAAGTTTGTTTAATTAAAAGTCGAAGCGGAAAAAGTTTACCTAATTTATTGTAAACTAAAATAATTTAAATGCAATTTTTTTCTTTTATGTAAAATTTAGATTCATTTAGTTTTGTAAAATTAATTTAATTTAGTCCCTTTAACACAATGTTTTACTTCACAAGTTGTTTTGTAATGGTTACATTCAAAAATTAATGCATGATATGAAAAAAGTGAATTCAATGGTCAAAAAGAAAAAGCCCCCCCAAAAAAACCACAACATCTACAGTTTGATTTCAAACCGACGGTGATTTATCCATGCCGAATGAATTTAAAGTCGTGAAGCTGTTAATGTTTCATGCCTCGCTCGCAGATGCTGGACAAAAAAAACATATGTTGGAAAAGAAAGGAACATTGTATAATTATATAAACAAAGGAGATGCGTTCATGTTTGAGTTGAAATACAAAAAAACGGGGTGGTTTAATGTTTAGAGGATGGTTAGCAGGTTTTTGAGTGGACAGTTTTTTTGTTTGTTGTTGTTCCATTTTAATTGCAGATGTTACCTTTATCAAGCAGCCAATCGTCCACCACTCGACCAAGTCTGGGTGGAATGCGAGACCTAGCGATCGTCAGCCGATCGCTATCACTGTTCCCTTCAGGTTTAATAAAGAGACAATTAGATTGAGTTACACCATTTAAAACAGACTCTTTAAAAAAACATGTAACACGTTAAAGGTTAGTGAAGCAACAGACCACTATTTTAGGACTCGGAACTTATGTTTTTTTTAAACGAACTTAATCTTGTTAATGTTTTCAATTCGCACACCGACCTACCAATCCACACAGGTTTAAACATTTAGGTGAGAGGTGCTCATTGATTTTTTTAACAGTACTCTTAATTCATTGAAGATATATGTTAAACCTCACACTTTTAAATGACTGTGCAAATTAGATTTGGCTTAAAAGACATAGCGTTAGACATTAAAACATTTTTAATGAGCTAACATTTGTATTTGCTTTTAAAGTGTTAGTGCACTAAATGGCTTTAGTTATCATGTAACAAGATATTTTATTTTTTATATATATCTATCGAATTTTTTTTGCACACATTTGTAAGGTCAACGGTACCTAACTAATGCATTGAGAGAGTTGCATGCATTACAGAAAGCCTAATTTGTCCCAAGCCATTTGTATAATTTATTGCTTAACATTCAAATACAGATTACATATTTCACGAAGGCAAGAATGCACGCGCACATTTAGCGCACACGTCCGTACACATGCGTGCACACGCGCGCACACCAACACAGGCATTGGCATGGTTTGGCAGGATGTGTGCTTAGTGGACGGTACATCTCTGTGACACCAAACAATGAACCTAGCACAATCATTTTTATTCCACGTCCATCAGTGGGATGAAGGGGGCTTTTTTTGGGAGATCCATAATCTCTTGTGGTGACCTTTTGTTCAGAGCCTCGTCACAAGGAAAGGAAAGGAAAAGTCAAATCTGGCATAATTTTGAAGGATAAATGGTGGATTGGTCATAGTCCTCAAAGACAATTTAATATTTGCGAATTGACTCATGATGAAAGATTCTTGAGTGAATGATGGATGACAGATCGTCATGGTGAGTGGTGCTAGCTGGTGCTTGTTCCTTGGCATTAGCCCGCTGTGTGTACTGGGCTAAAGCAAATTCAGTGCCATTAACTCATTGCAATCTGGGGTAAAAGTCATCACCTGAACATCGGCTTAATTTAAAATGTACAGCAGTGGTATAGGACAGGGCACGATCCACAAAGCCACCTACTTACACGGGGTCTTAAAATAAATTGATACGTGACCTCTTCAAAACAAAATATTCAACAGAAATTACAACAGTGTTGCTGTGAGGCACACTGGACAATTTTGCCTGAGGAAAATTCAGATCTTTGGATTTTAGTAAAACTGCTATATTATCTGGGGGGGATCATATTTTTACACCATTTGCTATGGCCAAGGTATGAATCGGTCAATGAATTGTACACACTGTGTTTGCTTTTTGAAAAGCCTAAGAAGGCAGATTATCAACGACGATAGTCTGGCGCTTTGTACAAAAATAATAATCAGTCACCGTGCAGAATCTGCAAGTGTATCTGTTCCCTTATCTCTCCATTAAATGCTTTGTAAGTGTAAAGAAGAGATAAACCCTGCCATTCGATTCCTTTCATGCAGGACCTTGTCAATGCTATCAGCTCCGTTTCTGCCCATGTCCTGCTGACCTCTCATTCTAAACCCGCGACACCTCCATTTATAAAAACAACACAAATAGAGGACCGTAAAAATAATATTTTTATTTTTAATTATTCAGGGTGCCGTTTCATCACTACTTACGAGCTACTATTTTGTCTTATGAGCATTTGCTGCCGATGGTAGCTTCGTGGCGTTAACTTTGAGGAAATCTTTGGGAAATGTTTGAATCAAATTACATGAAAATACATACTTGTGTTCACATCGTTGTGTTACTTAATGTGGTACTTTGTACCTTACCGCAGTTATTTTCATATTGAGGTTGATGTGTCATTTGGAATTGGGCTTTCAAAGCTAACGTCCCATTTTGAAAATAATTTGTTTCCATCTTTTGTTTACAAGCCATTTTTATAATTTGACTGTTTGAACTTTCAATTTAACAAGACAATGTCGCGCTCTTTAATCGCGCACAACTTGCTCGGATTTGATAGTGTGTCAAAATAATGTGACTGGAGGGGGGGGGGGGGAAGCCACACAAATTAGCGTGGATTTAGAAATGCTAACACCCAGGCGTTTATAAGTCATGCCAAAAGTATAAAACGGGCTCATGAATATTTTAAAAATTTTAAAGAAATAAAATCATTCAGCACAAAATAAGTCAACTTGGAGAGTGAATTGGTTTATAAATGATTTGCCAATTTAAAAAAACGAAATTACTTTTCTCAAAGCCCCCCCCCCACTGAGTGAACCCTATTGAATGGATGAAGCCTTGGCATTGAAATTGGGCCGCCCAGCCCCTTAAGCGGCTGCTGCACATGTGGTTAAAAAAGTTATGCACATGCTTAAAAAAAGAGATCGTGGTCGATGAGCACAGGCCCAAAAATGGCAAGCGGTCAGCAACAAACGGCACTATTAATTTGAAAGTTATTTTTGGGTTAGATCGCTTGAGTATAAATGTGTCGTTAACCCACCACCCGACAGAGCCAATCAGTAAGGTTTGTAACGTAAACAAAACGTGCCAATTAGTTACTACTTCAGCCCACCGGTGTGTTGGAGAGTAAATCCACAACGTTTACAATTTGAGTACAATGGTTTTTTGCTGGTAATTACATCCAGCATCATCGGGCGATTTTTGCCAGAATAATATTGGTCGCGAAAGCCTATGTGTCAAACTAACAAACAGCGCTTACTGATATTGAATGTGTAATCAAAATGTATGAACGAGTCTTTTTTTTACGAGCAAGGCTATAATAACTTGCAAAAATAATAGCTGATAGGAAAGAATTCCAGAGTTGAGCAAAGATAGGAGAAAGCATAAAGGAAGCATTGTGACCTGCAGTGTGGAGTTTGAACATCGTATGGATGAGATTTATCAGTGTTGTTTTACCAAATCGCCATCGCCAACAGTGTATGTGAGCTGCTGTTTGCGGATACATCTTTATCAGCCCTTTGCATTCACTTGCCTACAACACAACTTTCACGGGGTTGGAGCGCCACAGTGCTGAGATGTTAACTACCTCGCCTGGTATACAGAAGGCCGTGGGTTCGATCCAGACCCTGACGGCTGCTGTATCGTTGGAGTTTGCGTGTTCTCCCCGTTGTCACGTGGATTTTTCTCCTGGCTCCCCTCTGAATTTTCCCTCCACATTTAGAGTCAACATGCGTTTAGAGTATTTGGCTGCTATAAATTTGCACATGATAGGCCACTTGATTGAGCTAACATGTGTGGCCAGGTCGCTTCTGAAAAAGAGCGATATATATAGCTCAGTGTGCCTTACCTGGTAAAAAAAAAAAGTTTCTTTTATAGTTTCTAGAGGATGCACTGCAGCATACAAACCTAGTCTGAGGAATATTCTCCCGCACCATGAGCTTTTATTGTAATTTTTCTCGGTGAAGCGTCTCAGGTCCTCGTAAACCCAATCCCAGGGAGAGTGTTAATGAAGAGGCACATTCACCAGTAACGGCGGCCATAGCCTGATTGCGAAGCTGCCGATAAAATGTAGGAGAACAAGGGGTTAACGGAGCGTCCGTGGTCTTATCAGCCGGCTCCAGTCCCCGTGTTTGTGAGCGTTGGCCTGTGGCAAATCCTACGGCAGAAAGGACCGGGTTTAAATAAAAAAAACTCCGTGCACTTTTCTGTTGGGAGAGCTATCAGATTGAAACTTTTCCTCCAGCTCTTTATTTTTTTTTATTTTGCCCAAGGCATTTATCCAATGTAGGCCACGAGAATTTTTGTATCTGTACGGGGAAAATAAACCAGTCTCCCAGTTTATTCTTCCTCTCTATCTTTCTTTTCTTCTTGGCCCACTATGTGCGTCTTTGTTGCACGTTCACATCTCTGAGATTAAACCGTATTTTTTTAAGGACTGTAATGGAATAATATCGGGCGAATGATAAAGCACCCCTTGTGTTCAATACGGGGATATTGGCGTGTTTCAGCTGAGCCATATTCTATTTTTTTTCCGTTACCTCCGTTCTGGGAGCATATTGTATCGGTATTACTCTGCCCTGCTGCCACATTATGTCAGGAATGCTGCGTAATTAAGCACTGGATATGCGTGAGCTTCGGGCAAGAGGAATAGGAAAAAAAAGAGTCGTGGTTGTTGGTAGCAGCACCAGTCCTCCATATTTTCCCCGTCCTGGGCTGCACCCTGCAAGCTCCAGCCTCCACCATTTGTGTGTGTTTGTTGCTGCAGCGAAACAAGCGAGAAACAAATTGACTTGGGCAGTTTAATGTATTTTCTTTTGCTCGAAGGAATAGTGATCTATTCATGTAGTCTCTGCAGAAATCTCTGCGGTTATCCTGTTTCCTCCTCCCTTTCCCTGCCCTCATTTGTGCTGTACCTCCCCCTTCCCTTTTATCTCTCGTGTTATAAGTGGAGTTGGGATGTTCATGTCTGCTGTTTTGCACTGTGTAAGCCAATTAAAACAAATACATATAGGATTTAGCAGCTGTACTTTATACTCTTTGGGTCTTTCGGTAAAGTCACGTAGATAGAAAAAAATCACGATGTTTCGATCACAACACAAGCAATCGTCTTCAGGTGAAAAAATACAGCAGGAGAACTGCTGAGGCAGGAGAAATATAGCGGGAGAGCTATTTATTTTCATTTAATTTCTAGTGGGCATTATTATTACCATTGTTAAAAAAATCATTTTGGACGGATGCCAAAACGTACTTAATAGTCGTATTGGTCTTGATATGCCTCATAATTTCTCACACACAAGGATTAATTGCGTTGGGACATTACAGTTTGATGTTGTGCTACATTTCATTTCGCACAACTCAATATCCGTACGCGTAGACGAGACGCAGAGCGTGCTGTCTTTTGATAGACCATCATCTGCCATTCTCCTTCCGCCGGTGAATGAAGAGCCTTCACTCTGCTTGTGTCATCACTTCTGCCACTGCAGAGCTGAAATCCATCTCTCCTTGCGTGCGTGCCCCGGTTGCATTGCTCCTCCTCACCATTTGATCATCACGTTCACCATAATCCTTTTTGGCTGCATTGATATATCTATCGAATTACCCTCGCACAAGGCTTGAAAGTAAATTTCTTTTGCGCATTCAGATTTATGAGCCGTTGCTGGCATGGTGAATTATAGCACGGGAAATAGTGTCCACTCCACACAGCTGCAATTGGATGTACTTTGATATAATTTGGGGCATGGGTCAAGGTACTCACAAGTGCACAGAATGATTGTAATAAGGGTTTGTGTTTTTTTTATTAACCGACCAATGACTGTTCGTGTGCGGCAACACTATGGAAAGTGTGTTGTAAACTAGTCCTGAAATGACTTCATCGCTCTCGAGATTTGCTGATTTGTCACAACTCCGGGTTGTAATTTCGATTCGGGAATGTATAACTTTGGTTACACTTCGGTGCAATTTTACTGCCAACAGTGATTGCAAGCGGTCACGTGGACTAATTACGTGCAAGGAATACGAATCCAAGCATCCTGCCAGGTGGCTCAGTGGTAGAGCGAGCGGAATCTCAACCCGGGGGGTTGCAAGTTCAAGTCCTGGTTGGAGGTTGACTCAGCCCGTCATCCCTCCCTGGGTCGATAAAATACGTACCACGTTGCGGAGGAGTCTGCAGCGGTTGTCCTATGAAGAGACTCGCGCCATCATAGGAATTTGTAATTTCCACCACTGGCTCAGGGCTGTAAGCAGCAAGATGAGCACTGCCTCAAGTGCTCATATGAGCAGAAAATCACTTTGACTTTCTCTTTGCTCATATAAATCGTGTAATAATTTCCCAGTGCCGTATTCTGCGCACTGTCGCAAGCGGTAAGCATCGACTTCAATCGCCATGTCACTGTTGTCTATAACCAACGGTGTGCCATAGCCAACACCATCGTTCACCGCTACGGTTCGTTGGGTAATTTACAGCGCCACAAACGAGCATATTCCCGCTATTTAAAGCACTCAAGACGGTGGCTTGTCTGCATGAAGGGTGAGCTCAGGGTGACAGCCCGTTGGGAGGTTGTATAACCCACGGATAATGAGCCACACGTGCGCGCTCCGCACAGCGCGCATTTGAGTAAGTGGCTCCCTTTGCGCCTCTATTCTTGGCATTCTGTCAGACAAAGTTTATTTGTTTTTTGGGTTGGTCTCTCTCACACCAGTTCCCAAGTGATCAGGTCTTCCACAATAACCATGGCACCAAATGGCAGCGAATTTGACATCAGTTTGAAATCGAGATTGAAAACTCATTTGTTTATAATTGCTTTTTGTGTTTAGTTTGTCCCTTCCCCCCGCACCTCCGATTAGCTCGGTTGGCTGCGTACGGTGTGAAAGAAGTTCAACATACACAGACGCACAGAGCAAATAACATCTAGCTGTATATCCCGAAAAATCACATCGTTATACCGTACCGATATTAAGACATCCATTGGAAATTCTCCACGTTATCATTTTTACACACAATCGTGAGTAAGCTACCTGGCTCTTGATAAAACCCTCTGCGTTTTAAAGCACACAGCGTGTGTGTGCCATAGAGGAGACTCGTGAAAGATGCTGCTGGGCAATTGGAGGGTAGCCACCCTCCCACAACAACAGGTCAGAAGAGCAATGCTCACAACAATGCTCGTTGGAACAGGTCAGAGCACAGGTGGTGTGTTTGGCAGTCATCTTAGTCAATCTGGGCCTGTCCTGAGACCTCTTGCCAGCAAGCCTACGACACGCAACATGGCCTCAAAGGGCACCTTAGCTTGGCACAAGTGCTGTGGAGACGTCACCGTCACTCAAACCTTTTTTTTATTTTACTAGGTAAGGCTCACTGAGCTATACAGCAATTTTTCAGAAGCGACCTGGCCACAAATGATAGCGCAACGAAGTGGCTTATCATGTGGACATTTATAGCAGACAACTACTCTAAACGCACATGGATTCTAAATGTGGAGGGAAAAACCAGAGGACCTGGAGAAAAATCCACACGGCCACGAGAACATACAAACTTCAAATATACAGCAGGCGTCAGGGATCGCGATCAAACCCACGACCTTCTGCATACCAGGCGAGGGCGTTAACATCTCGCCATCACTTAGTGGCGAGTGGCGGCGGCGCCGGCGGTTGTCGCCGTCGTGTGCACCATATGCCCTCGAATGTGAATATCGGGCGAAATGTCCCAGGCCAGCCTGCACCATTGCCTAGTAACTCGCCGTGCGCGTGTGCGTTTGCATGGGTGGCGCCTACTGGGCCCTGGAATGGCTAAAGTGGCGAGAGTGGGGCGAGCAGCTCGAGGCGATTGTTGTCCCACGTACCTGAGGGGAAGCGCTCTTTGACGGGAAGCTGGTCGAGCTGTAAGGTGGCGTTGCCTCCGCTGCGGGTGAACTTCACCACGTGGTATCGGCCATCGTTTACCAGGGCGTCGTCCTCCGTTATCACCATGTCGTCCGTGCCCACGTTAAAAATCACGCCGACCTTGCCTTGCTCCTGCAAGGGGATAGAGTTTTCCGCGGTAATTTGGGCGCAGGAGCCTAGTCCCAACGATCCAGAAATGGCGTAGAGTTTGGATTTGGGCACATTCTCAGAGGTGGGAACTTGATGGAGCAAGTCCTGGAAGGAAGGATGTCGGGATGTAGCCGCAAGAGGTGGATAAATAAAACTGACGCTTGACGACCTGAAGAAAGGGTACAGGCAAATGAAGAAGAAAGGTCAAGATCAGAGGACAGAGGATGGAGAAGTTTGAGACCTGCCATTGCGTAAAGGACTTGGGAAAGAAATTTGGATATATACTCTAAATGTTTAAATATATTTTGGGTCTCATTTTTCTGCCAACTGTGTTCTTGGCAATGTCTTGTAAAATAATAAATTTGGAAATCTTGGAGAGCAGTGTGCAAGCCTGTGTGTCAGAGGCTGGTCTTGAGAGATAATTTCACAGCATCTCTCCTGAACAATACTTAGCCTACTCTTCAGTTTTTTCGGTAAAGTCAACGTAGGTAAAATAAAATAAAACAACTAAGTTGTTGTAACCAAAGAGTATGAATCTTGCAGTCAGGAAAGCTTCAAATCTATAAATACTTAGCCTCTTCACAGTTGGTATTGTACATTTCTTCACCCTCTGCAATTATGCATGTACATTGAACTTCTTTCCCACGTACGTAAATTATTTGTTGCGGGACAGTGAACGCAATATTTTTAAAAATATTTTTGCGAGCTGGAATTTTGCAATATTAATTTAAAAGCCAAATTTTGTATATTTATTATTTTTAAAAAATTGTTATTTGTTTATCTGCCATCATTGGCGACTGGGCTGAGACCATCAACTCACTGCCCTACTTCAGAGACTGCTTTAATCACGGGCGCCTGCCTGGATTCAAGCCCAGGATTTGAGGAGTAACGGCTTAGCGCTCTGACCTCTGTGCCACCTGCCCAGAGCAGGGTAATCGGATATTAAATCCCTAACGAGGCAAGCTAATCAATGGAGAAATGAATCTACTGGCATTGGTGAATCAATTAATTAGCCAGTGTCCTTCATTTAACCAGGGGAGAGCCTATTAGGCTTGCGATGATTCATCGATTCATCAACTCAGATCGTTCCTTATGCTCGCGACACATGCACTGAATCGTGCACTTTCGAAGCAGTTATTTATATTTTAGGCAAATTAATGCAAATTATGTACGTATGTTGAACTTCTTTCACACCGTACGTAGCCAGCCGTGCTAATCGGAGGAGCGATTAGGGTAATGGAGTGAACAGAATTGTGCAAATTAGGCAACGAAAATAATGAGGATTGATACACGAAACAGAATGGAATGAACAAGACGAACATCAAATGGATTCTAGATTCAAGACAAATCATCGTATTGCTGGCAGAGGGTGAATTATCTCATGCCTCAAGCCCATGGAAGTCTGTATAGAAGGCAAAATTCAATAGATTGGTGAAACAAATGATGTTGCAAGGGTTATAATGTGAATTTTACATCTATTGGTACACTTTTGTATTTTTTTTCTACCAGAAATTATTGAGTTTTGGCAGAAATAAAAATGTCAAACTCAGGCACACACTCTATCCAGGTGCCTATACCATTCCACCTCTGCTCGGCTGTCGAGGCTGTCTGTTAATGTATAATTTAGTTCATTGCCATGTACAGTTTATTCACTACAGTGTAATGCTGTTTGTCTCTTCTCAAGAGCTGTCAGCAATCTCTCACGACTGGCCTGAGAATTATACGAGCCATGTCATCCTTGTCTCCACAGTGGCGATGTTTAAACACCGCACCAGGCATTCATTTATGGCTGAGTCGACCTATTGTAGGAACCAAACACGGTTCAGATAATCGTCACTAGTGTTGTCAAGAGGCAAAAGACAAAAACGACAAAGCTCCCCCGTATAGCCTTAACAGACTGTTGGGGCAAGTGCTGTTCGCGAGCATCTATGAAGGCCGGCACGGCACACGAGGGGGTGGGTGGCCAAAACCACGCCCGAACACCTTTCTCTCCTCAGTGGCGATGTTTACACATCCCACTAGATACTCATTTGAGGCTGAGTCGACCTAAGGGAGGCTCAGGCCGGGTTCAGATAAATCGTCACTGGTGTTGGTGGCCGTGAGCGGGAATTGAACTCGCCGGGTTCATAGCGCAGCGCGCGAACCGCCACACTAACCACCACGCTGCCTGCTTCCCTATTGTGGCAATAGGCAACGCTCTACAAACACATATCTTTGAGTGTCAGATCTCAATAGGCTATGCGTTTCTCACAAATCCGACATGTGGGTGTGGCGTGTCATAACAGACACTCGATTATAGCGTGGTGAAAGAACGCTCTTAGCAAACCCTCAGAAACCCTGCAATAAAAACCAAATCTTTTCTCAACAGCTGTCATCAATGCTCTCGCTCCTGGGCCTGTTACCCCCCACCCTCGCTCAACACCCACATCTGGCAAAGACGCAAAACAACAAGACACACAGAGTCACGATCTTAACAACTCGCCAGATTAAACGCACATAACGCACGAGCGTCCTTTGTGTGGGTTTTGTTCTAAAAACAGATTGGACACAATGAAAACCCGAGTTTGTAATGCACAAAAAACCTGGTCATGTAACGATTGCCGTGGCTCCGAGACACTCCATTTGCCATCATTAATTGGAATTTCTCACTGTCCAGGGATCCGGAGGTAATCCTCCACCAAGTACTCACTCCCGATCGTTACGGCTTATTGCTTACCATAATCCTGCAGCACAGAATAGCAAGGCATCCCGCAGATCCACCTCCGAGCCCTTCTTCAGCCGATCAATAGCCAATATGGTGAGTTAGAGCCTGTCGTTGGCTATCAAAGCCCACTTGAGCAACAGATTAGTGGAATTGTACCGCGAGAGAGAGAGAGAGAGAAAAAAAGAAGAAAAATTGACGTCTGAATCAAATGTGTTGAGTTGCTCCATTCCCACGTCTGCTTGAACAGTTTTAGGTATATTGCTCTTTCCCATGGTAATGGTGCCTTGTGCATTTAAGTGATGTCGATGCCGCGCTTTGGAGGGCACGGTGACGTGGCCGAGTGGCAGCGCGTTCGCGACTCGCTACGGAGCCCCGCGCTTGTTAAGCCCGGTGGCCGCCCTGGTTAATACCACAGGCGCGATTAGCCAAAGGTACGTGCCGTCTGATTCACGGTGGGCGCTGAAGATCCTGTGACGTTATTTGAAAAAGAGAAGGTCAAGTGTGCTCACATGAGCGTCCAAATTTTTTTTAATTTTTGTAAATTGCTTTGCAAATTACTTAATTGGGTGAAGCCACGCAGCAAAATCTCCCCGCCCCCCCCCCCCCCGCTGTGAAACGACTGCAAACTATAATCGTCTTTGAACATAGCGCCTTTGTGATTGCCTTGCCCTATAGCAAGAATTACACGGATACCAAATGTACTAAATGGGTTGATGCATTGCTCCCAGAGCTTTGGGGTCAGGAGAGGTCAAATTTGCACGAGCGCTAATGACGATCACCTGGAAAGTGCCGCTCCATGGCACGCGGTTGCTGGGTTCGCTTCCGCCAGGCTGTAACCGCGAGACGTACGTAGCGTTGACTCTCGGTTACCGGCAATACGCACGCGTTGTGTGTGCGCATTAAAACAAAATACACACGTTCATGTTTCGCTTGCGAAGTAAATAGGGGAACGGCCGACTTGAACGCTTTAAACCGCTGCCTCTGTGTGACAAATCACAGCGCGAGTTTCCGTGCAGACATTTGCCTCTTTATTGCAGTCTGGGGCATGAATGATTTAAATGTTTTATGGCTGTGGGTGGAAATGGGGGAGGTGGACGGGGCATTGCTCGGGTCAAGTGAATTAGTTTAGCATGGTCAAAGTGGCTCTGTGCAGGAGCGGGTTCACTGAAGCGCATTGCACGTCCTATCACACAATAGACAGTTTGCTGCAGCAATGTTTGTGCACACGTGTACTACCCCACATTCGCGTGTACACAAAGCATATATTACGCTCACGTGGGCCTTGAAAGATTTCAATATTTACTTGGTATGCGAGCTGCTTAAAGTACATATCGCACAATCTGTACTCCATGCACGCGGTTAATTTTTCGGTAATGGATTTGTAGCATGGGACAAGGAGCCTGATAATGACCGCGTTTACCATAGGCAGCATGTGGGCTTTTAGAGGTTCTGTTCCTCTACAGCAGGTTGGTGTGATGCATAAAGGGGACCGTTAGTAATTTGTCCGCGTTGCTGCTGTAATTATGTTTCCGTGGAATCGGCCATCGTTTTCAAGAATAATAATGTTCAGCTTTTATTGATCCACTGTTGGATGAAGGAAGGCCTCTCCACATTATGTCATTCATGAGTATTGGTCAGTGTGGGTTGGTGAAGGGGGGGGGGACCGGTTTAAATGTCCTACTGGAGATTTGTGAAAAAGAGCTTAATAGCTCATCGGATTCCTTCACTATAAATATTCTGATTGTAAATGTCACTTGCTACTGGTGTTAACCATGGCTAGCCCATCGCGTTTACAGCGCACAGCGCTAACAGCTGCACCACCTCTTTAATTTCTCAATGTAAAAATAACAAAACATTCGATGCATTCGTCTGTTTTCACAATGCGGATCATTCAACTGCATTTAGAAAATACATGCCAGTTGGGTAAAAAAATATTTAAGCATCAGAACCAAGAATATGAACAGTGTGAGGCCAAATGCTGTTATACAAGGTACATTACTGCATACAATTCCAGCAGCATAGAACCTCAGCGGTGTAGTGCAAGACTCTCACAGATGGGGAGATGATGGTCCATCTGCCCTCGCAGGATACATGTTTTTACACCACTGGCTGCCTGCGATTTTAAGTCTCATCTTTAACATTTTAGAGAGACGGTGTTGCCTCCTGTTTATAAACTGGCGCAGACAGTAACCCCCGACAAATGGAAGTTTTCGTGCATGGTTTGTCACTGATTTAGGCTGAATTTCGATTTAAAGCTTTCGTGACTGCAAGGATTCAT